GTTTACATGCTGCTTAACACAAATTTAAGGGAGATCACATACACGCGCGCACGCACACAAGTGCACGCGCACACACTCAAACGCGCACAATCAGACACGACATAAGCGCGCTCACTCACCCGCAAGACACAAAAGCATGCATGTTCACTATTTTTAAACGCTGTCTCATAGTCCTTTTCTACTGGCAATTTTTTATATATGAGCCTATTAAAATCAATTATGTTAATGAATGTATAAATCACCTCTCGGCTATTCTTTTAGAACAAGTCATAAAACATAAGTTTTGCAAACAAAATAAATCTATAAAATGGTTTGTTTGTTTGTATTAAATCTCAAAGTACATAAATTAAAACTTTGTTTTTCATCCGACTTATTAAAACAATGCAGAATAATAATAATAACAACTTTCTGTGAGAGAAAATATGAAAAGGTAAAGATTAAATTCTAATGGTTTTAATCATTATTAAACCGTTTTGATTTCCCAACACTTTTTACAATCTTAAACACAAATGCATAAATGACGTTTATAACTATTTGAAGTTAGAAGTTAAAAGGAAAGAATAAATAGATCTTTACTTTCAAACTGATTTTTTTTATTTAATTAAATTAAAAGATAAGTGTTACAAAAGATACTTGAATGGCATGTTACTTTGATTCTATATCATTATCATAAGTAAGTGTAAGTATCCAATTGCAAACACAATTTCCACGTGACACGGCTGGAATTATAAAACGGGTGTTTTGGAGTTTAAAGAAGGACTATATCAAGTGGTCTGTTTTAGATAAAAAACATGTATTCTTATCCGTATACCTTATATATATTGTTTTGTAAAGGTAAGTAGCGTTTTTTGAATGGTTATATTCTTTCAATGTTAATTTTTACGTAGTAATTATTGTTCGTAAACGCATTTATTTGAAAAAACGTAACTATGTTGATTACTTATGATAAATGCATCTGGAACGTTATCTCACTCAGTAATGTGAAAATTGCATAGACTTAAACAGGTCGCGAAAATAGATATAAATGTTGTAAATTACGTTTACATAGACAAATTAATGTAGTTTAATTATTGACGTTTAAAAGCGCCTAACTCTGTTCTAGCCCTTTGGTCACTGATAAAAAACCTTTATTCGGTCCCTTCTTTGTTTTTCTTTATGAATTGTAAACCAAATGATGTGATTTAACCCGAACTTCTGGTGTATTATGTTTTCCATTATTTAAATTGTTAACAACACTTATGTCCTTATTTGATAATAAAAGATGAATTGTAATCTTGTAATGAATTTTTAAAAATTAAAACGAGTTTGTTAAGATAAAATAGTGTAATACTTTACATGACGCCAATGAGAAATGACAACATATTAATAAAGTACACTTGTTGAAGGTTCATGATGGCAAATCGGAGGATATTTATTTTACATCACCCTGATCTTATTTGTCTGGACAGTGGCAACTTTAAATGCATCTACTCTAGAAGCTTTTTGTGTCGCTCACTTAACATTGTGATCTACTTAAAAATGAGTAGTAGATAATTGAACACGCAGTTAAATATGTCAAACATATTCTTGATTAAAGACACTCAAATTAAGACTTCTTTAAACAGGCGATTCACATCATAACGGTTGGTCTAAAACCGCAACATAAAGATAAATATGCGCAAAACAAAATTCCCATTGATTTAAGACTTAAGTGTAAAAAGTCTAATGTATATGATGTTTCAGAACATAATTTAAGAGGTGTTATCTAACGGTGAGTCCGAAATAACGGTGATCCACAACATGATTAGCAAATGTCAGGTCGATAAATGACAATGGTCGTCGTACATGTTAATGTTCATGACTTTCCATATTGGATACACTCGATCTTCCTTAACAGTGCCGGTGTAGCTCAAAATCCAACACAACAACATCATTAAAACATGTTAACATGTAGTTGATTAATAAAACCTCTTCCGAGGAAAATAATATTAGTTTTTTTTTCACGGAATAAGTCACGTTTTGCTGCGAGTTTAGTCCCTAGATGTTACTAAACTTAGATCGACCTATTCCCGAAGAGAAAATTTGATATAGGCAATAATTTTATTTTTCAGTGTACGTAAATAAATCTCGTAGAGATACTTTTGGCAGATTTAGGGTATTTATTCTTCAGTTTATGTAAATAAATTATGTGTTTGACGCTTGCAACATTTTGCTACACCGGCGAAAATTTAGTACGACGGGTGTTCAAATATGAATGAAACTTGATTTATTTTCAGAAGAGCTCAACAAACAGTACCATTATAAATGTAATATACGAAGTGTTAGTCTTTTATCCGATTTGTAAATTTAATGCGTTTTCATAATCTTTTCGAGGTATACAGTTCAGAAACTCGAAAATAACAGAACAGAGATTTTTTTCCGCGTTTGATATTTTCTTCAAGCAAGGTATTTTCTGAGACTCGGAAATAATAAAAAGTCAAAAGGGGCAAGATCTGGCGAAAAAGGAGGGTGAGGAAGCTCGATAACCTTCTTTGTTTCAGATATGCTCGTAAAATGGTCGCTTTGTGTGACAACAATCTGACACCACAGAGACCAGTTGATAGTCGACGTTTATTTGAAATATTTCTTTAATCTATGAAAAATTTAGCCTTTGTAAAGTTTGCATTTACAGATTTACCCTTTGCTACGGCAATCTTTATTGATAAAGAAAATTACATACACGTCCTTTTTGACGGTCATGATGTGTTTTGCTATGCAAGGTATTTGACTTCCTTTGGTTGCCCATGTTTTGTTATGTATCGTTCGGTTTGGGTCATAAAAGTTAACACATGTTTTATCGCCAGTTATGATTTTTGCGATTTGTTGTTTGTAGGGAACTGTTTCAACAATTGTTTGGAGATTCTTACCCGACCTCTTTTTTGCTCTATAGTAATGTTTCCATCTGGCACTTATCCATCTCACTTTAAAATCACGTCTGATATTTGTATGAGCGGCTCCTACAGAGATACAAACGAATTTAGCTATATACATAGTTCTAGATCTTGCATCAGTAGCAATCAAATCCTTTATTTTCAACCATTTTTGCAGTTGCAGTTTTCGGACGGTGTGAAGTTTCAGTTTTCCGACGGCTTGCATAAGGTGCATCTTGCACTAAATACACATCACTTTAAAATTTATTTCACCATCGTGTGACAGATGAAAAAGAAAATTCAATGTTCCCATAAACAAGACATATTTAATTCAATATGTTATTCGCCAGTATACCAAGAGTACAGTGGATATTGATAAAGGACTGTTTTTGGTCAGTGAAAATGAGACCTTTTCCCAACCATTTTAGCTTTAGTATACAAGAGTAGATAGCGTTAATCGAATTAATGTCAAAGCTAGATTGAACTGATTTACACATGTATTGTATCCATTGAGAGTTAACGTAACCATGTAAGCGATACATGTACAAAGTTCGTAAAAACGTTGTTAAAAGCAGGATATCAGCTTAGTTGCATTATATTTGGACACCCCTCGTTGTAACGGCATTGCGTATTAGGTGCCTTTCTGTATAAATGATATTCTTCCTAGTAATTATATAATATTTATCAGATTTTATCTTGCCGATATTAAATCATGTTGTGAATGAAGTGTTTTAATAGAAAAGTCTTTAATAAAAAAATAATTTTGTCATTGTTTATAGGAGAATAGGTTTTAAATAAAAGTGTTTTTTTTTTAATTTTATTTCACTTCTTTAAATGTTTAGACTTAAGTTCGAGGACAGTACTTCTTTATTTTTTTTCTATAACTTTAATAATTAGTTTAAAAATAGAAGAGTATCAGCTTAATACCTTAGCAAATCTTATAATGTATATTTAAGCCATGCTTTTTAGGTATTGCACATGCTGCTTTGGTAGAAGTATGGGAACGTTCAGCAGCCATTATCCCATGCGATTTAAACGTACAATATCCAACATGGACTGGACCTAGTGGACTTGCGGACCCTCTTATAACCGGAGAAACAATGAATGAAGTAGACATAAAGCGGTATGAGAACACGAGCCTCATTATCATGAAGGCATTGCTGAAACATGATGGCTATTATACATGTTCAGATGATAATGGTAACAGTCAGACAACAGAACTTGATGTTCAATGTATGTACACAATTTTTACTAAGAAATAGGCATGTAATACTTAATTCGAATAATACATGCGTTTGTAAGTATGCTATCGAGTAAAATATGGTCATGGTAGCGCACACTTTTTTTCACCAGAATGGAAAATGAAATGAAAATGTATAAAATTCTCCAGTTACAATTTTACCTGTTCAATCGGTTTACAAGAAAAACATTTGCTGACAACATCTATCGGTACAACGAATTAGATATGTTGTGATAACATAAAAAATATATCGTATGAGTGCAATTCTTGGAATGGTAACAAACTATAGCTTTTATGTTTAGAATTATAAAGATTCCAATCTTCATCATATCAAATCGAAAAAAAAGAACAAGTGGGGAAAAATGTATAACATTTTGAACTTTTATACTTTTCACAGATTTTTTACCTTCGGCGAATTTATCTGCAGCTTCAACAGAGAACACCACAGCAGTGTTTACTTGTCGTTGCCATAGTAACCCACCTTGTGTGATATTATTGTATACTAGTTCCTATCACCAACCTGATGTTCTTTTCATAAGGAATTACCCTTGTGAACCAGTAAGTTCCGTTACTTTAGCATAAATTCATACAGCAAGATTGATTTGGATTCAATTACTTCAACAAATGCCAGCATTTAAATACTATTTGCCTATATGATTTATATTTTGAGCATAGTATAGACTATACCATTGTGTGGGAGAACCATATCTGCAGTTATACACAGAAGACCGAGATGATGCGAGTGACAATAATATGAACAACAAATTGAGGCACTTACTAAGAAAACTCAAATTGGCTTTGTATTGATTCAACTGACAAAATGGTCTTATTAGACGGGGGTCTAACTTATCTTGAAAAGTCAAATCTCGATAAGCAAAGGCCTTCTAAATATTTACTCTTTTGTTAAAGATTGTAAACAAATTATTATAAATTACACATACGTACATAGCTAATTAGTCCCCTACTGGTTTAACTGGAGGGGACTTAAGGTGTATCCTCCGTCCGTCTGTCTGTCCGTCCGTCAGTCCGTCCGTCCACAAAACTAGATCCTGCGATAACACAAAAAGTACTGAAAATATTTTATGAAACTTGATATATGGATAGATGGCAGTATGGAGATTATGCACGTCTTTTTCTTTTCTTCCTATGTTGAAAATTCTGGTTGCTGTGGCAACAAATAATCTGAAAATATGATTAATTCAAAACATAAACTGGATCCAGCGATAACTCAAAAAGTACTGAAAATATTTTATGGATAGATTTATAAGTAAATGGCAGTCTGTAAATTATGCACATCTTTTTCTTTCTTTCCATTGTTGAAAATTCAGGTTGCTATGGCAACAAATAGTCTGAATTTCAAGATTTCTGATTTACATTTTTCAGCTTTTTCACTATAAGTTCTTTATTTCTTAAGGTGTTTACTTCAAACTTTAAACTTTAAATACAAGTTTTTGGTCATCAACCACATCCTATGTGACAAGGACAAGGTTTACAAATCTAGTTTACAAATCTAGCACAAAAATTATCAGTATTACCGCCCTTGAACTTAGAAACTTATGAAAAAAATGTTGTTTTTTAAATAACTTCTTTATTTCGTAATGTATCTACTTCAAGCTTCATATATATGTTTCTTATTATCACTCAACATTTTTGAGTAGGTTAAATAATATAGCAAGTCTATTTCCAGAATTATGTCCCCCATGAACTTAGATTTTTTTCGAAAATTTGGTATTTTTTACTCCAACTTCTTCATACCTTATAGGATTTACTTTAAAATCCACATCGTAATAATATGACAAGGTTGTATAAACATAATTTCCTTACTAGGCAGGGAAAATGATACAGAAAACTTAGAACTCAAAAGATTAAGTTCATTCATGTCATTCATTCACTGGTAAAATTGAATGGCCAATGGCCCATCATAATGTTGCTGGGGTTCTAACCGGTAGGGGACTTATGGATTGCTTGCAATACTATGATAATTGCTTGTTTATTTCAATATTACATGTATAAGTGATAAAAATCTGTTCCATATAATAGAATATGTTCAAAATACATTTATTAAGGTAAACTGGTCGTATAAATGCCACGGAAGAATATTTCCCCTAGGAACCTTTAATCTCGAAACTAGCTTTAAATATTTATGTCTCAAATCCAAAATTACCCTGATTTCACTGTTTCAGACTCTGAAATATATTTTTTGCGCCAGCAGGATTTAATATTCATTCATTGATATTGAAAATATTTTTTTGCAGGTATTAAAAAAAAAATTTCTGTCATTGCTTATATTCTTCTTGTCATACATAGGATCCAAATCGTGAAAATCGAACAATGTGTAGCTTTGTAACAACAATAGGGATAATAAAAGAAAGTAACGGTCTCGAAGAAAACCAATGCGAATTCACGTACAAAGGCATTTTTAAGTTCTCTACACTTACTACAAAAAATACTTTTTACTGTAAGTCACTTGTTGTAAAAACTTTATTCCTTGTTGTTTTTGTTATTGTTGTTGATTTTAAATGCTATAAAGTTATTTAAATCGTATTATATGAAGCCACATTGGAATTTTCCATAAGCTTATAGCGAGGCAATCTTCAATAAATAGAGGACATCGAATGAGTGTAGTTTAATACTAAATTTGATAAAAACATATTATGCGAGCCTCTGGCGAGCATAATATTGTTTTATTCAACGAGTTCAATAAATTTAGTATTGAATCTACACGAATATAATATTCTTTTTATCACATATATAAAATAAAAACAGTAAACTGTTAAAATGAGTAATTTTTCAATGACGCGCCTATAGTGTAACGCTAACATTAGCGAGCTTTAACGCTATGTTTCTATATAGCGCAAATGACGTCACGTCCAAGTGTTATTACACTAGTGTAATATTGTTTTTATAAAATGGCTTTATTACACTCCTGTGCCGCAGTTTATGTGATAAATGTTATTATGTGACAATAGATAATAAAATAATATGAAATGATGTTCCATATTTTACATTTAGTTCCACCAACATATGTCAACATAACTGCAAATAAAGATGAGAAGACTGTGACCCTAAACTGCACAACCGATTCGTCAAACCCTGTTGCTATGTTAAAATGGTATAAAGGGAATGAAGATGTAGCCTCAAATAACTCTATAATCACAAGTGATTATCAGTCAGTCATTGTTGACGCGGAGTATAATGGTAAAAATATAACGCAATCTCTTGATATCAACGTAGATGATGTTAAAGATGGAGAGAAGGTCTTCTGTTGTGGAAAACAATTGAATACCGAGATCTGTAACTCTATTCTACTGGCACAATTTAGAGAAACATGTGAGTATCATACAAGGTGTTTGTTTATAACGTTAAAAATCATCATTTGTGACTTGTGATGATAAGATGTATCGTTGTTTCAATGAGTGAAAATTTTAGCTATCGCGTATAAGGGGTGACAAGGGTTGTTTTCATATCTATATACATTACCATAAGAATTACTTTTTCTATTGATCAAGTGAAGACAGTTTTCACTGGTTATATATCTTTATCTTATCAATTGTACTAAAATAAAAATATTGTCAAGGATATTTCACTGTCATTCATTGACCCAAAGATATATTCTAATCATAATATGAATGATCTTGATCTCATCTTTTTGACATACTTCGTCTGTATTAAGTCACGTATAAAACACGTCGTTTCATAGCATATCCTCTTAAAAACATAGTTTTTTTTCTTTTACAGCTGGTGGCTCCTGTCTTACAGTATGGGTGACTTTGATTATTGTTGCGGTTTCCGCCGTTATCATTTAAGAGAACAGCAAAGCACTGTTTTGTTTCGGTGCTTTTTTCATGAATGTGTTGTCGAGTCCATTGTAATTTATTGTTCAGTGCCATAATGTGTCATTTAGGTAAGGTGTTTGTACTAGTACAATAGAAAACAAAGTGTTATTTGTGCCATGTGGCGGATGCAAAAAGGCTCCCCGTATATTTAATCAAAGATGTTATATTTTCGATCCTTGAAGATCGTTCACCACGGCATAATTATCGTGTATACATTTTATGTGGTATGTTTAGTTTCTTCCATTTGACCTTTCAACTTTGGTGGTTCCAGTATTCCTACTTGAATACTGTATAATCACCCTTAGAATATGTTGCCTACTTTTTAAACTGTCTTTTGACATCTTGTCTGTGATATTCAGGGATCATAGACTCAGATCCCCTTTCAAAATTCAATATTATTTAATTTCGGCCATTGTTTTTCTCGTTTAGGGCACAAGCATTCTTTTATTTGGGGACCATATGCCCCTTTTCATGAAATATCACTACTATGTCGATGTCACATTGAAGGTTTTATGATAACCGCCGTGTGAGCACATCTGCAGATGTTTCTAGATTCAAAATTTCACCATTTTCATGTTTAGATATTGAATTCTGCCAGAGCCGGTGCTATGGGGCGTGGACGGTATCTTGCACTTTCCAGTACCGTCCATGACGAGACTCAATCAAACCAAGCCTGCAACATTTTCATTTCTGCCGTGTTGGACTTTCTTTAGGGATTCTGTTTCTTCTGTATTTTCTCTATTTTGTACTCAACAATGTATAATAACCTCATGATATAAATATTAAATATATATATATTGTAAATAATTTATGTTTAACTTTTACGGTAATATTTACTTCCAATTGAAGTTTCTTGGGGTCTTTTTGTAAACAAGTTTAACTAACGTCGTCGTTAATGCAAAGATTTCGTGACCCTAAACTGTACACTCAAATCGTCACAACCTGTAGCAGCTGTGAGTGGGATTCAGATTTAGCCTAGTAAGATAATGAAAATGTATCCATGTACAATTATATACAATCTATAGGGTTCTTTGATACGTTATTTATCTTCAATCGAAATATAGGATATACACCATTTTTGGAGATAAACAAGCAATAAATTTTTCAATATCTTATTCAGGTGGGAGAAACCAATAACCAAATAAATCATTATAATACAAATAACAAAGAGTTGTATAATAGTTTGGGGACCTTTCTGTTGAAGATGTGTTAAGAGTTAAATCGTATACATATACATGCACAGTGCGTTAACTGGAGTGCAGGTATTAATTACCCGCACTCCAGAGCAAGCCCGTTGATTGGCTCATTTTTGCTTTGGTTTACTTATAGTGACGGCAAAAAAAAGAGAAAGCGATAGAAATATCATATTCAGGTGCTCAATCATTAGTTACTTTTTTCTAGGGTTTCATTTTGTGATGACAGGGAACTAGATTTTATGTTTGACTATGCTAAAAAATAGAAAGAACATCAAAACACTCGGCAGTCTGATTAATATTCGGAGGCTATGCCCCCTCGTACAAATCAAATAGCCTCGTGTTTCGATGCTCATTCTATTTAATATGCAACAAACAATTAATATATTAAATATTTCATAATAACAATAATGTCAATAATTACAATATATACGAAGGGTTATCCAAACATTCGTTGACTTTTTAAGTATGTCTTGAAAGTCAACGCGTATTATGATGAAATTTTATCAGCAATTTTGTAGAATATCATCAATACATTTTGAAAGGAACATATTACTGCGCCAATAAATAATAATATTATATTGCTATTAAATAAACACATACACGACAATTGGCGCACGGTAGAAAAACGTAGATAGCCATCGTATATTTTTTGCCAAAAAAAACTAATAATTAACGTAGAAAACCAGCTAAACATCGCATGTTTCCTCCATGACGTCATTTAAGTGATTTCTTTTTAAATTGTGGACGTCATTTCCGTTAGTTTTGGTTAATATCGCTAGAAACGCCAGACGCCGATATTGTTTACAACGGGATAATGACGTCAACACGCGCCTTAATAAAGATAGGCGGCAAACCATTAAACAAATTATGGAGGCGGCCGTTTGCAGTTATGGAACAATGTGGCGCATTCTTTATGAACTTTGCGTATGTGTCACGTGTATCAGCAAGATGGGTGCCTAGACTTCTCACAGATGAGGAGCGAAACCGTGGTGTCTGCGAATCAACAGCATTTCTTTGCCGACACCGAAGGGAACCAGACCGTATCATCACGTACGATGAAACGTCGTTATGGACATTTGAGCCTGAATCCAAGCAACTCTCCAAACTCACTCCCGCCCAAGAAGGCTCGTGTGAACCGTTGTGAACGACTATGGTGATAGTATTTGCTGACAAGTCATGAATCATATTGTGTCACGCAGTTAAACGGGGATGCACCGTGAACTCTGCTTACTACTCATAGTTATGTTGAACTTTAATAAAACTTAATAATTGAATAAAAATAATGTAAAGAGCAGCAATAATGTAAAATCATTATAATTAATTATTTAATTAATTCATTTGTTTATTATTAATTTAATATTTTAAAGGTTTTACACTCACATTGTAAGATTGTTGGACTATTAATCTGTGCGGTAAATTGATAAGGTATTCATAATAATGAAAATGTTATTGATTGATTACAGGTGTTGAGACGCAATCTGGTGCATGTTTTGGAAAAGAAGAGGCCGGGTCTTCTGATCAGCACATTTCTGCTACATTATTTTTGTTTACATTTAAATGAATATTATATTCGTTACATGCTAATTACAGGGCAAGGGATAACTGCGGGGTCGCCGGTTCCAGGCCATTGCCGATCTTATGATAGCTACACAGCTTATTCTGTGTCAATTAGATGAAACATTGTTTTCAACTGTGTACCAGCGTTGGATCCATCTTTATGAACGATGTGTGCAGGCTTTGAGAAACAGTTACGGTCATTGACTGCGTAATGTTATTTACAAGTTGAACGTTAAAATGACGTTGACGTCAATATTGTTATGGGGTTCGCCGCTGTTGCCGATATGTGTTTATGAAAAATTAAATATTGTTGTATATTAAGAAGCTACTAGCATGATTCTTTCTGTGTTTATTTGCTTTTTTTTCTTCTAAGCAGTGTAAAATCTTCAAATGAATATCTAAAATATATTCTACGCGATTTTTTGGATAACCCCTTGTACATTATCAACATTTCACAATGCAATTTAATAAATATATGCATACTAGGTTTTGTAATAGAAGAAATCTAATGCAACAAGAAATGTCGAACGACACATATGCCCCTTTCTAGCCCTTTACTCATACTAATGGTAATTTTGTTATAGAAACATGCTGAAAATGGGTATGTGGAAGAGTTCAGTTATGGAAAAAATGAACTATATATGAACTGAAACTGACTGAAAGCTATCATTAATAAATTATACAAGTTGGAGGGTAGCTGGAATAAAATTTATGTTACAAGCGTATAAATGTAACCATTCCGATATTTAAGGACCCTGTGACCTTGACCTTTGACCTAGTGACCCTGAAAACAACAGAGGTCATCTACCTATTAATTGTTATTTAAATTATTCCCAGGTAGAAATCGGCGAATTTATTTGTAAAAGTTTGATATTATATCTATGGTAATAGAAGGCCTTAAAGGTCTAAAAATAAAAGCAAATCAATTATTGAACAATTAAGGACCAAAATTATTTTTCATAATCTTAAACATTTCACCATAAAATTACGTTGTTCAATGAAATGAAATATACAAATATAAACATCTTTACACACAACATTACAATTTTCATAAAATGAAAATAATGATGTATCCCTATGGACAAGTTATTGAATATAGGGATATGTTTACCTTTATTCTAAGTGTCAAGCGTTGTTATTTCATGATGGATAAATCATGAATGATATTTAAAATGACACTTTTAAATTATTTGGTTCTTTATAGCTTACTCTTATGAGACCTTTTATATTTCATTATTTAATCTAGTTATTAACAAATTCTCCCTGTTCTTTTGTAAGAACCACGTGACTACGTGTTGTATGTTATTGCTTTAAAATCTATTAATAGTAACAGATTGCTGATAAAACATACATGTTACTTGTGAATGGTTGGAAAAATGTATGGTGGCTGATAAGATGCAAATCATAATAATTTTGTATAAACAATTACAAAGTTATTTTTCATTAATCGGTTTTATATTTTATATCAATAGAAAGGTCTGTATACTCATATTTTACACATTAAAGAATAAATTTTAAAACTTGGCCATTTCTGTCAAACTTCTGACAAAAACGTTCAATAGTTTAGTTTAGGTTAAAAATAGATTAATGCCAAAAAAAGCACATTTATTGAAATTGTCGTCATTAAATGACTTCTTATCCAGTTACCTCTCAGACATGGGTTCGATCCCCGGGAGATGCTTTGGTAGTTTAGCACGGAGAAGGTATTCTAGTACTGGTGTAACTCTGCAGGAACGATGGTTAGGAAACTACCCTCCTATATGACTGAAATGATGTTGGGGAAAGGCGTAAAATGAAACAAACAAACAAACAAAACAAACAAAAACATCCGAGGGATTTTACTTTCCAAGAAATGTTAAACAATCCGTTTGTTTCTTTTCCTCACACAGTTTAAGTCGCTTTCGTTTCAGAAAATATTTCTGACACCAAACTAAGCTACTGAATTATACCACTTCATAAAAATCCTGAAATGAATCAAAGACAACAACAATATTTATATGTGAAAATTGCAGAGTCTTATTATGATTGATAATGTCTTTTATTTTTGTAAACTAACCAAAGATTCACAGATAAAAAAACAAACCAATCAATAAAATGTGATTTATTCATTTTTAGGTTGCTTATATGAGTATTTGACAAATACTGATATACATTTTCTTTATACATGTATAAATATACCAACAAAAGTACAAGATACCAACAAAATGAACACTTCTCGTGTAAAAAAATACATTACGTATATATTCTGTTTTAACAAAGATAAAGATTAAAACACGTATATAATATGATGCTTCTTTGCTCAAACTTTTGTTGTTTTTTATACTCGGATTACCTGTTGTTCAGAGCAGGAAGATTTCTCATTAATAAAATTTAGAATAAGAGGTTAAGGTCGTGCAAATTTACTCTAGTTAACAAAATGTAAATAATAAACACATTGTTTGGATTTGTTTTCAAAGGACAAATACAACCACCTCGTCAACCCGATATACTTATGGTATATACCAATTAAGAAGACAGATGTCTAAAAGGTGTAGATTCTTTTAACGTGAACTGAAAGACAATAACTTCATGCATGCATGCATACAATTCTTAATTCATGTGTATATTTTAGTATGATTGGCTTTTTACATATTAGTCAATTCATATCATCTGCGTTAATATTTGTTATAGTCACCTCTCGGTTTACAATTAGGAGAAGTCATTTGTCACAAAGAAATTAAGTCCAAGTGTTAAATCAAATTTAAGGAAAATTAGTCAACACTATCAAATAGACAAAACAATTAAATAATAATGCTGTGACCTCAAAAGCTAGAAATCAAAACATCCGAAACATACTGATACAATGCAAAAACAAAGTAATTTTGCATAAGAGTCTTAAGAGCAATGATATAAATGTATAAAACATAAAATCATAATGGTTTTCATAATTATTAAACTGCTTTGTTTTTAAGCACCATTTACAATCTAAAACACAAACATTCACTAATGACTTTTATAACTATTTGAACATAGAAAGTTAAA